CGCAAATCCTCTACAGAATATCGTCGCTACATCTCATAATCGACTCATGGTTCATATTGACGGTATTAGCGCATTAGCCCTTGTCGACACTGGAGCCGCAATTTCCGTAATGCGCGAAGACCTCCGACGACGCTTACGAAAAGTACTGACGCCACCTGACACGAAAACGCTCCGCGGTGCAGATGGCGGCATTATTTCACCTCATGGCATGTGCGGCGCTCGCATAATTGTTAACAACAAGACTACCTTCATCCTTTTTACAGTCCTTATAACCTGTCCCCACGAGATCATCCTCGGCTGGGACTTTCTTTCCTCACATTCGGCCCTCATCGACTGTGCCAAAGGCGAGATTGAGCTCGATACCAGTGAGTCCTGCGACGTTTCTGACTCGGTTGTGTCCAGATTATGTTGTCTTGAGACATCACGCATTCCTCCCTTGTCTGCTGCCGCCATAAATGTCACAACGACCCACTCGATCCAAGACGGTGACTACATTGTCACACCGAATATGAGCATCTTGCTTGAAAGGCAACTTGCATTACCACACTGCGTCGCAACTATCCAAAGTGGTGCCACAGATTTATGGGTAGTCAATATTGGTCAGAGTCATCAAATATTACCGAAAGGTATGACTATTGCGCGAAGTTTCCCTACAATCAATTGTGTCGTCGCAGCCATTTCCGAGGAACAATCAGAAAGCACCGTCGCAACGCAACTATCGAGCCCTGCCTTGGCCAGCATTACAACCATGATTGATCCGACTTTGGACGAGGATAAGATCCATCAACTTCACGACATACTTTCCAAGTACCACACCATCTTTGACTTTCCAAGTCGTCCTCTTGGCCAGACAAATGCAGTTACTCACCGAATCGACACCGGTACTGAACCTCCAATCCACCACCGTCCTTACCGAGTATCACCGAGCGAACGCCGCGCTATCCAACATGAAGTTAATAAGATGCTGTCACAAAACGTTGTCCAGTCCTCGTCAAGTCCTTGGTCCTCTCCTGTCGTCTTAGTAAAAAAGAAGGACGGATCATGGCGCTTCTGCGTCGATTACCGCAAATTAAACAAGATAACAAAAAAAGATGTGTACCCTCTGCCCCGTATCGACGATACTCTGGATTGCTTATATGGCGCTGAATATTTTTCCTGCATTGACCTACGCTCGGGGTATTGGCAGATCAGCGTCGACGAATCGGACCGCGAGAAAACTGCGTTCATCACACCTGATGGACTCTTCGAATTTAAGGTGATGCCCTTTGGCCTTTGCAATGCGCCAGCCACGTTCGAAAGAATGATGGATCGTCTCCTCAAAGGCCTAAAATGGGTAACCTGCTTATGCTACCTCGATGATGTAATCATTTTCTCTGACTCATTCTCCAAGCACCTCGAACGTGGGCAGCAAGTTCTTGAAGTTTTTCAACAATCTGGACTACAACTCAACTCATCAAAATGTCGGTTCGGAAGTCAGCAAATTAAAGTCCTGGGACATCTCGTCGACAAAAATGGTATCCTCCCAGACCCAGAAAAAATTCAGGCAGTCAAAGATTTTCCCAAACCTCAATCAACGAAAGACGTTAGGAGTTTTTTGGGGCTTTGCTCCTACTTTCGCCGCTTCATTCGAGACTTTGCACACATCGCGCTACCACTGTCCTCTCTCCTCAAGAAGAATCAACCTTTCGAATGGCACCATCAACACCACTCGTCGTTCGGATATCTCAAGGCTGCTTTGACATCAAGCCCCATTCTTGGACATTTCGACGACACGGCACCCACCGAAATTCGAGCCGATGCCAGTGGTCACGGCATCGGAGCTGTTCTTGCGCAACATCAACTTGGTACAGAACGAGTAATTGCCTACGCCAGCCGCCTCCTTTCGCCAGCTGAACGTAATTACACCATCTCTGAGAGGGAATGCTTGGCTGTGGTATGGTCAATTTGTAAATTTCGGCCATACCTCTTCGGGCGTCCCTTTCGTGTCATAACTGATCACCACGCGCTCTGCTGGCTGTCGTCCTTGAAAGATCCCATTGGCCGCCTCGGCCGCTGGTCGCTTCGACTTCAAGAATACGACTTTACCATCGTATACAAATCCGGAAAAATGCACCAAGATGCTGACTGTTTGTCCCGCTACCCAGTGAGCCCAGTCGATTCCTCAGATGACACTGAACTGCCTGTCCTTCCAATCTCAGACCTCCTCAACCTTGCCCAGGAACAACGCCGTGACCCAGCTCTTCGAGCTCACATTGAACATCTAACGTCAAACCTAAACCAGCCACCCTCAGGACTCTTTCGCATTCGAAACGACATTCTATACCGGCAAAATTTCAGACCAGATGGATTACCGTGGCTTGTAGTTGTTCCTAAACACCTAAGGATAACTATTCTCAACGAACTACACGACGTCCCTCCATCAGGTCATCTCGGTCTGCTTCGCACCTACACAAAGGTTAAGGAACGTTTTTATTGGCCTGGCATGTATCAAACTGTTAAGAAATATGTCTCCTCGTGTGACCCTTGTCAACGTCGAAAGAAACCACATACTCGACCATCAGGACTCCTTCAACCACTGCACCCTCCGCTCAGCCCATTCCAGCGACTCGGAGTTGATTTCCTAGGACCATTTCCTTTGTCACGCACTGACAACCGCTGGATCGCAGTTGCAATAGACCACACTAACAATATATATATATATATATATATAGGGTGTTTTTTTTAAGCTTAACAGATTTTTTTAAAAAAAGCCGTGAAAGTTACACTTATGCCGCTTGTGGAGGTGAGTTATACGGCCAGGGGGACATAATGTAGGGGGCTAATCGTAACGACCAGTCGTCTAATTAATTAAAATTCGTTAATTAACTTTTTAATTAATGTAAATAGACATATGGTTCCAATTAGAAACTTGCTCAGCGTCATCGAAAGCCACTAAATCAGTCGTTTTCAGAAAGACTTTCGGCGCGTGAGAAGCGTAGTATTGTAGTGAAGTTACCACTCGTGGAGCAGTTACAAGGCTAGGGCTAGCTAAGACACCGAAAAATCGCGCGGTCGCCTTATCGCAACAGCTAGCTTTGTACCTGCTCCACGGGTGGTAGTGCACTTTAGTGCACTACTACGCTTGTCACGCGCTCAAAGTCTTTCTTAAAATTACTGATTTAGTGGTTTTCAATGACGCTGAGCAAGTTTCTAATTGAAACCATATGTATATTTTCGCTAATTAAAAAGTTAATTAACTAATTTAATTATTAGCCGACTGATCGTTACGATTAGCCCCCTATAATATGTCCCCCTGGCCGTATAACTCACCTCCACAAGGGGCATAAGTGTAATTTTCACGGCTTTTTTTAAACAAATCTGTTAAGCTTAAACAAAAAACACCTTGTATATTTCTTTATATTCCGTTGCTGCTGAACTTTTTAAGGGCCCAAGGACCGGTCAAGCTGCATTTTGCAGCTTTTTCCCTCGGGTCCCACCATCGCAATCGATGGAAATAAAGATTTATTACATATTATTTATTATTTATTTAAATTGCAGGGACGCTGTGCTTCATTGGGACGTTCTCCAGCGAACCTTGAAAAAAGACCTCCCGTTAAGCGCATACGGGATACGTTACTTGCCGGTAGAAAACACTGGCCCTGCTCCTTATAATTTTATTATGATCATCGGGCTCCACAGTATTTGGCTGAGCCGTATGGCTGTACGGCATGCAGACGTAAATGCGCGGCCAGTGTGTCACTATTTTTCCCAAAGCGTCAGTAACATGAGTGACGTTCACAGAATCTTTGAAGAAAGTTCTGATTGGCTGCCAGTCCTGGACGCCCTGGTTACTTTAGATTGTGTTTGGTTACTGTTTACTTTGATTATTCCACGCCAGTCAAGGCTTGGGTGGTGTGCATGTATAGGTCTCGGTACGCATTCCAAGATGTCATTTTGCATGCTTGGCGAATGTCATCGAAATTGAGAAATGCATGTCCGTGTAATGTCAAACCTGGCAAAAAAGAAAAAAAGGTGTCTGCGTGCCCTAGTCAGTAGCGTGTGTGGCTCGCAACCAAAGGATCGTGGGTTCGAATCCCACCTGAAATTAGTCTAATTTTTTTTGTCTAAGGCAAATGAATTACTTCATAAATTAAGATAATTTCCAAGATGCGGCGACTTTTAATTCGCATTACATGTCACGTTTTAACTACTTTCATTCCATGCCTGACGTCACGTTTCACGTGTGCATTGTGTGTTATTTGAAATTCCCGCTTGGAGGTCATATGACTGTGACGTCATTACCCTATCGACCAATCATGACCACCGACGCCGAAACCGACGCCGATACCGACGCCGACACCGGCTTCTCTGCGACATGAGCTCCTTAACGGTATCGCGTCAAAAATAGCGCGCGAAAAGAGCGCATCAAGCCCTGCGCTGGCCTTGCCCATAGTGACGCTTGCAAGAAGGACGTAATAGTTTCAGTCACGCCGTCACTTGTGTCGTCGGTGCACTCACGGAAGATACGCTGCAGAGATAGGGACCACATGACTGAAATGACGACGTGACTCTTCCAAGCGTCATTGAAGGCAGGCTTGTGACGCTCTTTCTGAGCACAATTTTTAAATCACGCGAAAATCGCGAAAATTTAGTCAATAATATCTTACACACCATTACCTTTTCGCATTTAAATTGGTCAGGCCTCTAATAGTAATTACCATCAATAATGCAATTCTAACACGACCCTAAAACCGACATTTCAAACGTTATTAGGGAGTTTTAATTAATTAAACGACTTCCCCCTACGATTATCTTCTAATGCCCGCCGAGACTGGCAAATACATGATGAAGACAAGCCTCGCCTAACCCCAAATTAAAACAATTATGTCCAAATTCAAAATCGTACGCTTTTAGCATATTCAAGTAGTGTCTTTTTAAAGTGTTTTGTTAAGCCCACCCCCTACTAAATTGTGTCCCGGCGTTGCAGGCTTCGTTGTAAATAAAAACTCTATGGTACTCACCAATAATCTGGCATTTAAGAATTAACAGTAGACAAATCGATAATTTTATGGTGTAGCAGTGGAACATTGCGCTAATTTGTTACAAAGTTTCCTCTGATAGAGCAGAAATTATATCTAGGAGAAAATTATTGAGTCAAAGAATCAAACTCATGGATAAAGTATAAGTGTACATTAAAAAGATACATTTTATGAACGCGATTAAAAGTTGTTGTATCAAATATGCGCTAACATGACGGAAATTTTTACGAGAACCAGGAGATGCTTAGCATGTGTTAATTCACGGTACATTACGGTCCTGTATGCCCCGCTTCCATTACCTTTCATGACATTCTAGAAATGTCAAAATTGTTTACCCAGAAATTCATCACGACTCCCCACTAATTTCAAAAATCCAGCCTTTTTTTTTTTTTTTTTTTTTACACGCGGTTTAGTAACAATGTTTAACATCGATATATTTTCTGCCAATCTCTATTCTTCAAAATTATAATTTCTGTATGTTCTTTACCGAGGTTTGTATACTTTACCGTGTAGGCTTATGAGCTAATGGCAAGCAAAATAATAACAATTGGTTTATTGAAGTATAATGATTTTTATTAAACTTCTGAAAATATTTTTAAACGATTCTAAGGCGCTGGTCAGCTAGTGGATTTATCCGATAAGGTCAAAAACAACTTTTTTCAACTCTAGGCTGCGACATGTTTGTCCTAGAGTTATGTAAGGGTACTCACTTGGGCTAGTTGGTGATACATTCTGACAATTAAAAGCGCTAAGAAAGACGAGGACAAGTAAAAAAGTCACACACACCAAGAGCGCACTTGCAAGTGAGCTCTTGGTGTGTGTGGCTTCTTTTACTGGTCCTCGTCTTTTTTAACGCTTTTAATCGTCACTATGTTCTAGAGTTAAGACATCAAGACAAAAATCTAGCATCATTACCTTAAGAAGGCTTACCTGATAGTCTAGAATCTAGATAAACTTAAAATAAACGATTAGCTCTTTCGTTTGATTAGTTTCAAAAAGCACGATGGAAAACTTTTTGACAGGACTTGTGACAGCGTCTAGGATTCACAGACGCAAGAAAAGTGCAACAATTCATCAGCGTGCTTCTTTAAGCTTACTTAGACTTTTTTCGGCATTTTGGTATCGACATCACCAATTGTTTTCTGTGTATTTAAATGAAATAAATGACAATTCGTTTTTTTATTTGTAAAGAACCTTGTTCTCAACAGGATATCCACTACCTATAGTTTTGTACGTTTCTTAAAGCGCACATTTCCCTACATGTTAAATTACTATTGATAAAGTGAAAATTGTACACGTTTCGAAAAGTGTCTATGTAATTTAAAGAGTTCTGTTAGGTTATATTAGACGCCTCTTACCATATTCGTACATTTGGCCTAGTCAGATACTTCGAACTTTCTATAGATTAACTTTATATCCAGACACCATCTAAAGTGGGGCCCACGCGTGGGCCCCACGTGAGCAAAGAGGGCTGGGGCCACTTTATATCCAGACACCATAAAAAGTGGGGCCCACGCGTGGGCCCCACGTGTGCAAAGAGGGCTGGGGCCACTTCTGTGATATTCCTGTGGATTCCACCTCGGTGCGGCGTAGGAATGCCTTATTCGGGCTGCCCATGCCACCTCGGCTATAATAAAACACACTTCGCGTAGAGGGCACACCGACTTGAGCTGCCGATGGAGTACTCCCGTTGGTCCTATTTCGGCTACGCGTGGACCTGCCCAACTTGGCAGCCCAAGTTGGGCATGTCCACGTGCACATGACACCGCGCCCCATGTTGGGGGAGAAGGAGAGGGGGAGCGGTGGAGGTGGGGGAGAGCAGAGTTAGGCCATATGTTGGCTGCACTGAGGCACCACGTGTGCATGTCCAAATTGGACTGCCCGCTCAATGCCCCGTGGGTCCCATCTTGGTGATACGGTTGCAAAGTGAGCACAGTGGTGGGCTCCACGAGGGCACACTGTGTGCACGCCCAACTTCGGCTGCCCATGCAATGACCCCGTGGGTCCCACCTCGGCTATGTGGGGTCACGGTTAGCTCAGAGGCGGGTTTCACGGGACTAAGACGTGTTAGGCCAACTTAGACGGTCTGTGCAATTCCCAAAATCATACTTTCCGCTGATATTATTAATATTTTATATTCGTTTTCAAGATGTAATGGAAAAGATCAGTTCAGTATTATACCATACCACAAAATATAGTAATTTCAGGCGTGAGAGAATGTTTGGTTGGCAGATTACTCCACGTCTATGTAGAGAAGGCCTTTTATGTGTGGTGGATTGTTTTACTCGAGGTATTGAATTTGAGTTTGAATTCTAAACATGCTTGTTTGAATATTGGTACCTGGTTTAAAATTTGGTGTCTGTAGACGCCTCAAGCTGTCTGTGTACCCGACTACCTGACTAACAGTAAATTTATTGTAATGTGATTTGTTTTGTTTCGTTCCATACACTTGCAATGCCTTATTTTTTATTGTCTTGTTGTAGGCATTTTTTTTTTTTTGATGCCTGAAAGCATGCGCATTTATATAAGGATCGAAATGGTGATAATGGTTTAGTAGGTGCCCGGGAAATGGGGCATGCCAAATTTGGGATGAATTGCAATACCTCACATCGTAAGAAAATTATGAAATGACCCCTGTGGGAACAAGGTTCTCGGAGGAACCTCATGTGGGGGGCCCACTTAGGCCCACCTTGGGTCCTCTGAGTGTAGCCCTTGTAGGATGCCCATCTAAGGACCCCTGTGGCTCCCACGGGGTGGTCCATGCGGGCTGCCCAAGTAGCCCCCTGTGGATCGCCCGAAGGCAGCCAAGGCGGAAATCCCATGTGGGCCCCGCTTGGGCTGAATTGAAAAAAGCGAACGTGAGACCCACATGGGCCGGTCAAATCGAATCGGCGTGCGCCTCCCCCCCCCCCCCCCCCCCTTTTATATCATACTTTTTGCTACTTTGGATACGTAATACGAAGAACCGACACAAAACATAGTGTTTGTTAGTTTCTGAAAGTGACGGGCATGATAATTGTCTCATAGATGGACCCGTAAATACAACAGCGCTTTGAAACTAAAATATCTAAAACAGGCCTCGATTTCAACGGAGCTATGGCGATGCTAATACAGCCTTTTTTATTCATTTTCTGCGCTGCGGCCCGCCACTTGGTAGCATTACGTGTTGATGCACCGTCCTGATTGCCCCATATATGACTTCCCACAAGACATCGCAATCTCGTAAACGACACCGTTGCAGCAGGTGACATATTGGTGGACATGTCTCACGCTGCATTCATCGTGCTGATCTTGGGGGGACATAATCTGGGGGCTTCTTAGCTTATCCGGAGCAGAGAGCACCACCTGGACTTGGTATCTGGCAACGACTCTCTTGAAGTTGTGCGACATACATTGGATGTGTGGTGCTACCGCTGGTCGGCGTCTTTGTTCTATATTCTTCTATTGTTTTCTTTTTCCTTTTAACATAACTTCCGCAACTTCTGACATGACGGAGGCAGGGTACCCTGCAGTCTCTAGCCGTAGCACTTGAGCTTCGGAGCTCTGTCCTGCTGAATGCAATGTCAGTGTTTCGGAATGGGTAACCCATTTCATTCCGACCCCATTCCGCGGAATCAGTTTCTTCGAACAATTCCATCCCTTTTCACTCCTTGGAATCGAGACACTGGGCCCATTCCCACTCCTGGAATGACCGAACTCCTCTATTTGAATTCTTGAATTCCTAAGCGTGGATAAATGGCCATCAACCACATTATAACGCTCCCTTTTGACCGCCCCGACACCTTGCGGTACACTGTGACGTCACAGTGCACGGCGGGAACTTTGAATTGGGCCTCGTATTTCTATTTTTTATAAAAAAACTACTCAACTCTATAGTGAAACAATTTTTTTGTAATGCCCTGTATGCCATTTTAACGCCTAGCATGAAAAAAAAAAAGTTTTTTGGCGTGTCGGAGGCTTTTTAATATACGTTTTAAAAGCGCAGTCTTGTACAATGTTTTATATATATAAATGTAATATACAACGCGTTACAAAAGTTGAAAGTACGAAATTTACATTTATGATTATCCCCGTAACCGCGGGATTACGCGCAGTCCCGCAGCTCCCCACACTTTTTGAATGAACTGGCTCCGAATTTCCGATGCGACATCTTCCCTCGTACAGGCTCCGATTCTGGTAAATTTACGTTGTGTGTGAGCTGCTGACTGTCTGCAAAGGAACGCTGAGACTTTCAGAAGGGAAGGGATCTGAAAAAAAATCCAGTCATCGCCACAGGGAGCGCACACGTGCAAGAACTGGCTGAACAATGTTAAGCCTCTCGTCCCACATGCACTGCTGCTGCTGCTCACTCTCGCGTGCGTGCGTGCGTGCGTGCGTGCGTGCGTGCGTGCGTGCGTGCGTGCGTGCGTGCGTGCGTGCGTGCGTGCGTGCGTGCGTGCGTGCGTGCGTGTGTGCGTGTGCGTGTGCGTGTGCGTGTGCGTGTGCGTGTGCGTGTGTGTGTGTGTGTGTGTGTGTGTGTGTGTGTGTGTGTGGTTCTTTTTATCCTCCTGGCTTGTCGTTTTTTGTCGTCACCGCAGCCTCGGGTAGTTTTTTTTTTTTTTTTTTTTTGTGGGTTTGTTTGATACTACGGTATTTACGTGGATTCGCGAAACAAGTCCTGCTACGGTTTGAGCGACGTGTGTGGCAACTACTCAACGATGACACTGGCCGATGACCTCTCTTTCTCGACAGAGAGAGACTAAGTTCGTGTTCAAATGTTTTCGTGGTGGATCTTGTGGGACGTATGGATACGATCGACATGTGAGAAACAACTTATTAACGGGCTTTCTTGGTCACGTAAGACGCAAGTAAAGTGCTGCAGTCAATTTTCTTTTTAATCTAGTGATAGAATGGAATTTTGTTCTTCGTCGTTATCCGTTTGCTACTGCGTCGACATTTGTAGATATGCGTGGTAATATTCTAGTTTTTACTGGGAGGTAAATAACAAGTTTGTATGATTATTGAAAGTGCGTTATTTGTGCTTATATGTTTATTTATACTAATGTTATTTTGTTGCCTTTACCGCGTTTAGACTCAAATCTTAACTGTATTAAGGTAATAGTATTATTGTATACAAAATAGGTTATATTTTGTTTTTAGGCAGCTCCAGCCCATAAGGAGAAGTAAATTAGTTGACTGTAAATATTAAGTTTAGTATCCCTGCTACACGGAAAAGTTAATATATTTTGATTAAATAATACGGGATTTAATCAGCTCGCTGTGTTGAGAGATCATGCGAGCGTCGCCAGCTGATTTGGCGACCCCATATTGTCATTTGATCAAAATTACATCAATTTTAATTCAGTGACTGCACGCGATAACATAGCTTACATGTTCGTAAGTGACACTTGTCGAGCCGTGTCCGCGTTGGCTACGTCTACATGATTTTTAACTGATCTGTGTTGCTGTGTCCAATCACTGCGTGTCTCGCCATTTTGTCGAAATATTTCTGTATAAAATATGCATTCCTACAGAAATAATTGCGTGACTCAATATGTTCTACTTAAAACAATCACATTTTTCTGTAAACGTTTTCTACGCATACCTCATGCCATTTCGTATCGATTATTTAGCAGTGTGATGTTTTTCCCGTGTAATAAAGTGTTTCTTAGACCCGTTGCAATGTGCAGCTTTCATTTTATCTAATAATACACGCGTATGTGACGAAAAGCGCGTTACGATGGTCGATCCACGCGTGTTGCCTTCGCTTCGACGCGCGCCCCCAATGGCCTTCCTTTGCGACGTCACGAGAACAGCGCTACGGCCTTATTTCTGGAAGGTGTCGGGAGAATAAGCAGGTGAGGAGGAGGGAGGAGGTGGTATACCCTTCCTCAGGGATGGGCAGTATTTCAAATACAAGTATTTGAAACACGTATTTCAAATACTTTGTGTATTTTGCATTTGTATTTAATTACAAATTGGGTAATGTATTTGACGTGTGTATTTAAATACTAAAACGTGGGTATTTCAAATACAATTGTAATTAAATACAATTTTGTGGGCGAAAATACATCCCTCAAATTTAGTGTCACTGTACAGAGCAAAAAGAAAGCTACGTTCTGCACCGAATGCAGTGTCTCTCAATCCAGCACAAGCATTTAGTGACTTTGTGATTACGGTGCTAGTCCAGGGCAAGAATAGTGACGAAATCTACGTTCACACGCAGACTGGCTAAATAAGTGCCTGTGACAACTTGTGATGCTTTCCATCCATATTTCTGCCTGGAACATTTTAAATACGCGTTTCGTCCAGATTTTTGTAACTGGTGCGAGTTGCAACAATACAAAATTCTCTAGCTAGTGCTGCGCGTCTTGGTCGTCTCGGTTTTTTGTTGATCTATACCAAAATGAAATCGACAAAAAAGCTGCTTGAATCTCTGTACTTTCTTCACCTATTACGTCCAAGCTGATTACATGTTTTTGTGATTATATTTCCATTACGTTACTATAGCCTCGCACACTAACTCCCGAGTGTGAGATGCAAAATTAAAATGAGATACCCAGAAACCCGTTGCAGGTGCCCTGAAGTCGCTGACGCAAATTTTGAGGAATGTATTTGGAAGAGTATTTGGAGGAGACCAAATACATTTGGTTGTATTTGTATCTTGTACTTAAAAATTTTTTTGGAAATGTAATTATATTTGTAATTAAATACATTTTCGACGAAGTATTTTGTATTTGTATTTCGATACGTATTTGCATGTATTTGGCCCATCCCTGCCCTCCCCCCAGTACCCTACCCTCCTCCTCCTCAAGAGCTGCGCTCTAATTCGGCGTTACCGGGAGTTGTAAACGGCTTCCACTTTTTTTTTTTATAATTTTTAATAGTCGTCGGTTAGCATTCCTCGAATCCTCTGTAAGCACACCTTTTGATACTTCAGTCCTTTCGTTGCCACTATTAGGACAGTAAGAAACGACATAACGATCGCGTTCGCCAATGAACAGAAACTCCGAAGGCGGTCCTTCCGTATTGCTGTATCAATGCTCGCGAAGTCTTTGTTTCTCGTAGCAGCATGCAACTGGCCAGACTAATAATAATAATAATAATAATAATAATAATAATAATAATACTTTTATTGAATGAAAAAATTATTGAACGAAATACATTTAGCTTCCCCACGCCCTTTTCTAAACATTCGCGCTCCGACAGTCACCGCCCCCTTCGACATCTCTTTTCATGCACCGTCCACATTCTGCGATGAATGTCGACTGGGCAACACCTTTCTGCCTTTAGCAACTGAATCTGCGCTTGCGGACCCAGCTGGGGCGGATTTCCAATCATACCGATCATGGTGTCAATCTTTCCAATCAAAAAGCAGACGTGCGGGGAGAATGAACGCCTGTTCGCTTGTACTTTGACCCTTGCTTATCACGATAATTGCAACGTCATTGTGCTCCTCTTATGCCGGTCTTCTTGACGTGGCACAAGCGGGCTTTATTTATGGGCGCATCGTTATATACTACTCGACCATCAGCATGCCCGAAGGAAAAATCCATCAATGTAACCCTGTTTGGCAGTCAATGTTTTCTAGTGGACCGCTGACTGTGCCTGACCTTACGTCAAGCATGTCTGATTGGCCAACAAGTTACTCTGACCGACAGTCAAACTTCAGTCAGACCCCGCTTGTCGGCTTTCTGATGGTTTCCTGGTGGCAGTCGGCCGCCGCGAAATGCCATCAGGATGTCTTGGTGGTGATTCTGACTGTACATCGATTGTCTCTGACTGTACGTCAGAAAGCTTTTACGTGCAGACAGACGTACGGTCAAAGGACGTAAAGTTCGTTCGGATACCACTATTTCGTCAAATCTATGAATACGAAAAGTAATCTATGCACGAGAAAACGATTTCGGGACGTGAGCCCATAAAACCGCTGACGTTAGAGATATGACACGCAACCCACCGACAACCTTGATCAGAAGCCCGCCGAAGCGCCGAACACGACACTTCGCACTTCGCTTCGCCCATAGAGGCTTCGCCGAGCTTTCATGAACGATCGCTCTCGACTCGTTTTGTTTGCCCGCTCGCTCCAACCTGTCGATCCTGCCCGGGCTCTACAATGTCTTATGTTTTAGTAGAATTTCTACTCGACAAGACCCAGCCTGTCGTGAGTTCCGACGATGTAAGGGACTTTAGCGGTGTAGTTGAAGACGACAGGGTGTACCAGGTCTACTGGGCCGGTGATGCGCGAACAAAAGGATCGTTCTATGACGTGAAAGTACTCTACATGGCAGGTGAGTAGAACTGAAGTACGGCGAGTGATGTACGAGTGCTTTGCATAACATGCTGACGGCTTAACTGCATTTGCAGCCAAAGCATTTCGTATAAAACGAATAGTCAAATCGAGTTTCTCTAACGGTGGCGTAGCATAGCGGTTAAGGTGTTAAGGTGTCCGATTTGTACGCATGTGGTCGCGGGTTCGATGCGCCGTGGTGCTGCTTTTTTTTTTTTTTTTTTCTCGAACATTTTGTTTTCTCGAGGCATATGGCGATACTTATGAGTACGTATAGCTTTACTCTTATATAAATGCTGCCCTTGTCGATGAAATTCCCTTGGCAGTGGCAGTCAGACGTCATCTGATGGACCATCAGATGACGTCTGATGGTCCACCACGTTCCACCAACGCTGCTAACTGGCAGTCAGTGTCCCAAATTACGTAGCTTGATGGAATTTTCAATAGGGTGTCTAAACTTAAGGATATTTGATTTGTGCTAGATAGTCTTTTAATAATCAAAATACTAAATCATTTCTCACGTCTTGTTGTTTATAGCAAAACGCCTTCTTCGCAGTTCGCTTATTATAAGAACACGATTGCAATACTCACTTTAGTGGAAAAATGCCAACGCCTTCAATGCTTCCTGTTGTACTTGTGGGGTCGATTTTCTATGTGACTTGATAAAAACAATAAAAACAAGAATCAAGATGACGGCCCTCCAGCATAGACGAGCTATACATATTATAAAATGGGCCGATAAGGTTCTAATGATTTCTTAACTGTCTCCTCATCTCATATTCCATGCATGAAATTTTCTTGTGTAAATTCCCATAAAAAGTATTGACGAAAAGCTTACATTTCAAGAGACTATATGGACAATCGCTAATAAAGTGTAAACGAAATATTTCAGCAAATGCTTACCACGATTTTATATTAAAAAAAGTTTTATTGTTTTATTAAAACTTAAGGAAGTTAAATTTTTTTCGCAACGATGCATCAGTGTACAAGCGCAGGGTTCAACGCACCAACTACACCTGTAAGGGATAGAGGAACGCGTTCATTCTTGTGTTGACAATAGCTACTTTTTCCGCAAACAAGGAAGTAGAATTCGTTCATGTATTCGCATGAGCGTGTTTTCCTGTTAGTTAAACACTTCCCGCATAAATCAAGACGTCATTAAGTTCTAATGATGTTTGTTAAGTCACAAATTCTCGGGTGCTGCTTTTCGTTTTGCATAATGGATTTATTATCGATGTAATTTTCACCCCCACGAATCATAAATATCCGTTAGAAACAAGTTACTACAATTTATTCATAGTCATAAAACTAGAAATGATTACATACATTAGACCATTAGGATGAGCGGGGGAGTTGGAAAATATAATCTGAGAGCCGTAGACAAAGTTTTAAATGCGTTATTAAACACGATAGCTTTGCTTTCGGCAGCCTCCCCGGAATACTTCTGCTCTGAAACAAGAAACGAATACTAATCCGCGTGAGAAACGAAAATAGATAAATTGAGAAGAAAGAGCAATCTTTCGAACGTCTCTTAAGGGGAATATAACTCGGAACACCAAGATTTTAGCCCCAACGCTCAACGACTACGCCGAGGGGGAGACTAGCGAAAGCGAAAAGATGCAATCCCATTTCTTTCGCAAACCGACACCGTGGAACGTGCCGGTACAGAGCTAGCGGGTAACTTTAAATTTTGTTCCACTTGCATGAGGGCTGGCGCTAATGGGGCGCCATCGAACACAAGAAGCTTGCGCTTATGTCCGCCGTTCTGCAGAGATTCCATGGCTTCCAACAAATGGCACAATTTTGAAAGGGGCATATGACAAAAGTCCTACGCTTTCTAGAACTGCCCCGGTGGTCTTCATAATGCCTTGCAAGGAAAAAGAGCGGACCAGAGAAAACCTTGCTGTTTGGCTGCGAACAGAGAAGCAAGGTGGGGTCGTTCTGCTACGATCCGAAGTCGATTAGGATAATTAGGATGATTTTAATTTAAATAGCGGAATATACCCTTCATAAAAAAACGACGAAATGCTATCTCATTTCATCGTAGTCTGCTGCAAAGCACCGCAAAAAGGCAGCCACGTTTTTTACCCCCCTTTCAACATACGTTGAGTGGAGGAGAGATAATGACAAATCTGTTCCAAAGACTTATTTCATTTTAGTCTGTAAGGGGTTAAGGATTGCAGATTCTGCTTATTTTCGGCTTCGCTTCATTGCCAGCCTGCTTGAAATCACGTTTAACGCTGTCCACTGAACGTGAGCGGGTTTCTTTCTTTCGTTGTTCTTTTGACACTGCAATGCAGACGTTATATATGTTTTTGAACACTACCCGTTCAATTTAGCAGGGAAGGTCTCCTGCTATATATTTGGCAAAATATTAAAGTTCAAGCTTAGCGCCTCGTAAGATAACTTATAGTGGACGCACGCTAACTTCATGTCATAGACATTACCCGACGTCACAATCAAATTAAATACACTAAACAAGCAAACGCTGGGGTAGAACGGGACAAGTCAGATAAACGCAAAAACAATTATAGGGTTTCGTACAAAATTACCTTTTCGAAGAAGATAAAAAAAAAATGAGCAGGAAAGGTAGTAACTCGGTTCTTGAAATCTAAGACAAAGAACATGTTAAGTTCTTTATTGCTTGCAAACACATATCAAGTTGAGTAGACCCTAATATGTTCACTGAGCAACTTTGCTAAATTAGGTACAATAATACATCTCGGTTTGTTTAGATATCATATAAACTAATCATGAAATAGATTATTAATTAAGAAGTTATATATCTTATTGCCTGGCGTAGCACATTTGAACTAAGCACATCGTATTTATGTCCACGTAAACCCGTTAATATTGCAAAAGATACAGCACTGCATCACTCGGGACTTAGACAAACTTCATGAATATATGTACCGGGTTCATCACTGAAATTAAAACCCGGTTTTTCGACTTGCAATATCTAATTACGTATCGGAGAAAGCTAAAACTCCGCGTGAATGTGACTCTGGTTGTTGTGATAGACACTGAAAGTTTCAAGACATGACGATGCATGTATTAAGATGATAAAGCCGAAAACAATGTTTTATGAGCCAATGTCTAGATAGTCATGGTATTCGTCAAACAAAAAAAAATGACATTGTTGACGCCTGTGGCACTGATTTAAGTAAAAGTAAACACTTATGAGCGACAGATCCTATTGTTTACTCTTTCACATTTCCGCTCGCAGCAACAACGGCACGTTTTGGTTTGACAAATATTATGCCTAGGTGCACGTCACCTTAAGGAGACATTTTGCCTTTCTCTTTTATCTTCCAATCCAGGTAACATCATGTTCCGCAATATTCCATCTTACCCGGCAGCGGGCGTGACATTCCCATCTAGTTTCAGCTCTCCGCTACGCATAGTTAATTTATGAGACTTGAAACTCCGGATCACGTTTTTAGAGCGCAGCTCCTATAGGCGTCCGTTTCCGGCTTGAGCGGCGTCGGTGTCGCCGTCGTCGTCGCTGTCGCCGTCGCTGTCGCCGTCGCCGTCGCTGTCGCCGTCGCCGTCGCTGTCGGCGTCGGCGTCGGCGTAATCGCGCGGTGCATTATGGGAAATGTCCCACAATGCACCGCGCGGAACCCTCGTGACGTCACGTGTGACGTCACGAGGGTCTCGCGTGGTGCATTGTGGGGAAATTTCCCTCAATGCACCACGCGGGGAGGAGGAGGAGGGAGGAGGAGGGGAGGATAGAAGGAGGAGGAAGAATGCGGGGAAGGGGAGAAGGGAGAGAATTGAGAGGGGGAGGAGGAGGGATGAGGAGGAGGAGAGAAGGGAGGGGGAGGAGGAAGGAGGATGAAAAGAGGGGAGGAGATTGAAGGATGAAGGGAGGAGGAGGACAAGGAGGAGGGGGAAGAGGAGGGGAGGAGGACTAGCAGGGAGGATGAGGAGGAGAGAGGAGGGGTATACCCTCCCCTCAGTACCCTTCCCTCCTCCTCCCCAAGAGCTGCGCTCTAATTCGGCGTTAAAAGTAAACATCATTCATTTTTTCTTACTGACCCGGCATATTTCATAACTACGTCACAATCAAGTGAAATACTCTAAACAAGCAACCGCTAGGGTAGAGCAAAACCTGCAGTAATTAATAACGTATTGTAGAAAGCTAAAACTGCAAAGTTTATCCACTTTCTTAAAGAAGAAGAAAAAAGTGTAGGCATTTCGATAGCGCCACTGTACAGAGGCCGCTAGGCTGCACATCTGGCACGTGCTGCACGTAGCGCGCCTAGATCTCAGAGTGTTTCCAACTGCACAATCGGTAATGCAATTTATGTGCCACGTTTGCAGTAGGAGCTGCGCGGAGGTGTCCAAAGCGTTAGTCGTATGCAAATGTATTCGCCTCTCTGCCCGCTTTTCTTGTTGCCCCGCGACAACGCTACACATGCGAACTTTCGACCAATCTGCACAGTAGGCGTTCGGCACTCAATTGCCAACGCCATAAATCCAAGTTGCATTAAGTCTTCATGGCTTATTACAACTTCGCTCAATGGCTGCTGGACACGAGCGGCTACCAACAAGGAAGCATTGGCCTAGCTATAAAGGTCACTGACCCAATGTGTGCAAGGTTGTTTTTTTTTTTAGATATGAGGCCGGCGACAAAACGCAAGACACCAAACTCTTCAATGTTACAAATCCTCCTGTCATTCGAGCTATAAATTTAGTTTTGTGTTTTAAAATTACTAGCTCCGTGTTGCTCTTGTGTTTGACATGCCCAGCGAGAGAAGGATAAGACAAACTGAACAAACGAAAAGGCTAAAAATTCAAAACTATTTTTGCATTTAAACAATGGACAATGTAAGGTTGGTCGAGCCTTTGGGGCCGGGGGGGGGGGGGGGGGGGAGGAGAGGGGGAGGGGGGAGGTCAGGGGCAGAGGATATTCTTTATTCTCCTGGCCGTTATTTTTTTTTCTTTTTTCTTTTTTTTTTCGGCGGGGATTGTACTTGTTTCGCGCCTGCGAGAATCATCCCTTCCCATCGGGTTTCAGCAGAGGCGCTAGGGTGGCGGGGACCCACTGCAGATTGGAACCTACGGTTCTCGTCGGCGCTTGACATTCCGGATTTGACGAATGTCAGTGACGACTATTTGTCTGTTTGTGTCACGGGTCTTCATAAAGTTTTGAAACATGAGACTGGTGTTTCATCCATGTCAGAAAGAGAATGTGTGGTATGGAACGTGATTGTATACGCATTTGAGCATTTGACCGCAGCGTGACATGGATGAAAACGAACGAAAGGCTCGGCATGCTGCGGCTCAGCGTCTACGCAGACAAGCACCACCAGAGCTTCGCCCCAATCAACATCATTCACCACGTGGAGATGCGGTTGTTTTTCTTCAGAAAAAAAATAAATTGCTTATCTTGACACCTGCTGAAGCGATAGTGCTGTTTACCTCGTTGGTGCTTTCTCAATAAATGTTTAGTTGTGAGTCCAGCGCTTGTGTCGTTCGCATCTTTCCTTCGTCCTTGTCTATTTTTTGCGCGCTGTTTATTTCCGTTTACCATGAACCAACTCGCCTACATCACGACACTAATCCTCCTCTTTCTCACCTCCAACTTCCTCCTCCTCCTTCCCTCCTTCTTATCCCTCCTTCTCCCTCCTCC